ATTATTTGTTAAGCAAAATAGACTCTATCTTTTCTTATCTTTCAACCCCTAAACCCCAACTTTGATCATGTATGATTGACCTCAACAACTTATGAATTGACTCTATCTCTCTCTCTACATCATCATTTTTTCTTAACTACTATATCTCTCTCTCTACATCATCCTCTCTCTCTCTCTCTTAAACTCTCTCTCTCTTTTAAAACTCAAACTCCATATCTCTCTCTCTAAAACTCCATCTTTCTCTCTCTAAAAATCCTTCTCTCTCTCACATAAGAAGGTGTAATTTATTGCATGGGTTTTATCAGGGTTTATTTCTTGCTCTTTGCCCTAAGGAAAACCCTTATTTTTTATCAAAATCCACAATATCCTCGATCTCCTCTAGAAAAATATAAAAAATGCAAAAGTTTATGATTTTAACTATACAAATAAATGTGTTTTCCTTAAGCCTCAAGTGAGGAGCTTTGGCTGAACTATTAAACCATTATCTATCCAAATTACAGAGAAATCTGTTTCGTTTTTTAATTTTAAAATAGCTTTATATATTTCATATTTGGGCAAGCTTTCTATGCTTCCTTTACAACATAGAAATTCTATACTTCCCCTTATCCAACCGTCCATTCTGAATGGAGGGCTAAGATTACCCCAATCACATTGTCATGTCTCTACACTATTTTATTTTTAATTTTTTTTTCTATAAACTATTTTCACACCAAATTTTGGACGTCCATTCCTCTATTAAACTCGCACTAGTGAAAAATATATTTTCAATAAAATAAAATGACTAAAATACCTTTGAAAGTTTCAAGAGGTATTTTAGCCATTATACTTTATCAAAAACTTATTTTTAATATTTTTTTATTGGTGCGCCCCACTGAGAAGATGGCAGGTACCAAATTTCAAAAATTAATAAATAACCAAAATACCTCTACAATATTCTTTTGGTAGTTTTATTTATTTTAATTTATTTTTTAAAATACTATTTTTATAGGCTTATGATAGTGAGAATATAAATATACCAAATTTCAATTTAATACAATAAATAGAGATAAAAATAAAATAAAAATATACTTTATACTATACAAAAGAGACTCAAGTATGATATGTGAAATATATATCGCTATTTCTAAATTTCATAAATAAAACAATATTTTTTTTCAAAAATCTCCTACCCTTTTTAAGTATATCATTGAACATACCTTGCTAGTATCACGTTTTGAATGGCAAAGAGAGAATTAAACCAAAAACAACAAAGAATATCAAGAGAATGCGTCTTTTGGGAACTGGCCAAGACCGAACCAGACAGTATGGGTCTTGGACCGTTTCCTCACTGAGCCCCCCAACACCGCAACCCCTCCCCCCAAACACACACACAAAAAAGAATATGGAGAGAATTATAGTGTTTTAAAACCCTTCGATTTTTTATCCATAGTGCCGATTTGGATGGGAATTGGTCGATACAGACCCAGACGGTATGGGTTTGGGCCCGGGCCTGATTCCTCCCTAAAACCTCGACACCACAACCTCCAACCTAATTTTTTTTTTTAAGCTTATCTAATGTTTTTTTTTTAAGTCCCCTTAAATCCTTACCCTATAAATCCCTATTTTTAATTTTTATTTTATTTTATTTATTTTTAAAAAGTTTTTGAATCATCGATTTAAACCGATCATTGTCGATGTAGTCATCCGATATATGATCTATAAATGAAAGATCCGCCCAGAGTTTTAAAACACTGCTTGCAGCCATGGAGCAATGACTTTCTTACATAAGTGAGTGGTATCATTATGACATCAAATCATAAAATTCATGTACAAGTGAGGGCCATGATCGCATTGCAAAGGCAACCCGGCAAAAAGAATGCAATTCACACACAAGCAAAAGTTTTCAACTCCCACGTCCGCCCCAATGAAAATAAACCCATTCACACCATTCCAACCCCATAACAAAATAATTCACTCTCTCTCTCTCCAAACCCCAAAACAAAAGAAGGCATCTCTCTCTCTCTCTCTCTCTAAAACAAAAGAAGGCATCTCTCTCTCTCTCTCATGAACACCACTCACTCAAAACCTCTTCAACCAAATCCCCAAGGATCATCCCTTCCATGTCCTTGCCTATGACATCAACATCATCATCCACCATCCCCATCCATTGAGTCATGCTTAAATCCTTTGCAACTTGCCCCTCTAGTGAAGCTTGCCCATCCATGGGTTCATGTACATACATGCGCATCATGCTCCATGCATCTTCTAACAATCTCTTACCGGTGGGAACCACCATTGAGGCTCTAACCCTTCTCTTGGGCCTGGACCATGACACAAATGGGCCCAATATGCAAATTAATGTCTCATTCAATAAATCAAATAACAACTTATGTTGGGACTTGATTTTGTCATCATATTTAGGGCTATGGGAACCCCTTTTATAAGCTTCCTCTACTTTTTCGTGAACCCAAGGCCCAATTGGGGTTGTTGGTGAAGCCCAATTAGAGAAGATTTGGGCCGAGCCATAGAAAAAGCCCGACGTCACAAGGATGTCTTTTATGTAGGTTTTGGCCTCATCTTCTGTGCCCTCCACATGGCAGCTTGAGTATTCCGGTTCAATTGAGTCATTGGATCTTCCGGATTCAATCAGGCCTAACTGCCTTCTTAGCTCTGGAAAGGGTGTGAGGAAGAGCTATTAGTATCTAGAGTCAGAAAGCATGGAATGGTTTTGGTCTAGTTCAGTCTAACCAAAACCAATTAGCTCTTTTCTACAAATAGCTAATAATTGGGAAATCCTATGTTTTGTTAATCTTTTAATGTCTCCATATGTATAATTTATATGAAGAATATTCTTATATTTTGTAAAGAAAGTCACAATCGCCTTTGGGTATTAGATCTGAAATTGGGTGGCTATAAGTATACAATTGATCAGGCTCAAAATCCAATAAAATCTTTGAACTTTATAACATGCTCTTAACCACTGGATCACATATGATTATTAATGAGGATTATGACCCTGAAAAAAGTCTTATAGTTTATAATACCATTTATACGTGTTTGGAGATCCAGGCATAAATAATATAACCTCTTTTCTTGAAAGAAAAGTATACAAAGGGTTCATTTACTTTTAGAACAAGGAGATCACAATCACTCTTGTCTTTTAAATTTCAAATTGGTAGTTGTGAGTGAATGACTCAGTTCACAAAAAGAGATTTTCTCGATCTTCGTGACACACCCGAAACAATCCAAATTGGCATCAGATCACTAGGAGTAATTGTGACCTTCTTGTAAGAAAGATAAATCGTGTCATAATATGCAATCCCTCTCGAAATCTTTGTGAGCACTTAATTGGAATCTTGTTTCAAATGTCTGCATAACTTTGCATGGTCTCTAACAGGATATTTAGAAGCATGTTAGTGGAGATGATCTATGTTTCAGTTAGCATGGGTGCGTATATTGTGTTTCAACTCAAAAACATTGTGATTTTTGAGAGGAAAATTCCATATAGTTGACTCTCAAAACTTAAAGAGCTTTGATTTATTCCTTAACTATTGGATTAGATGACAGGTTTGAGAATAGTGGAGTGAGTTTTAAGAGTGAAGTTACCTTGAAGATCAGAGCTAATCTCTTTGAATGGATCAGAGAGGGAGATTTCATCATGTAAATAGTCACATGAAGAGGTTGAAACTGCAGCTACTTGTTGCTCTCCTGCCCCAAAGAAATCCCTCTCTTGGTTGCCACTGCCCACTGATACAGGGCTTGGTGGCACCTCTGTCGAATTCTCCTGAAATCAATGGAGAGAATAATTTATCAGCAACCCATTATCAAAATACACTTTTCAAAATGAGGAAATTGTGCGTTCGTATGTGCGCCTACGTGAGAAAGAGAATAATTTATCATCAATCCATAACCACAATTACTACAAGAGAAGGGAAAAGGGGGAGAGACTTTATCATCAGCCCAATACTGCAATCACCATTGTCTCCTGTCTGTATGAGAAAGAGAATCAACCCAGTCATGTGTGTGTAAGAGAGAGAGAGAGATTCTTGCCTGTGCTACTCCCACATTCATCTCGATTGACTGTTCAGTCACAATTGCCCTAATGGAAGGTAGTTCATCCGAACCCTCCATTGCCTGTGCAGATTCAATCTTCTTTCTAAAAAGTCGACCTCTAAGAGTGAGACTGTACCTTAGGCTCGAAACCTTGCCTCGAAGACTGAACCTCTCTCTTCGACTCTTCCTCACCTCAACTGATACACTCTCAGAAGCTTCATGTTTCCTTCTAATTTGAGCTCCTGTTATAATAGGCTGGTCCTCTAAGAGAAGCTTTCCGAATGAAGTTCCTGAAACAGGGGCTGATAAAGACCTTACAAGGTTTCTTGGTGACACTTCCACATTATCTATTTCTCCTTTTGACCTTTCATGTCTAAAGGAAATCGCTTTTGTTTCAGTCTCTTCTCTTGTGCTTCTCGAAAACCTTGAGTTTTTTCTCTCTCTAAAAGACTCTGCAATTCTGTCACTTGCCGCTGGAATTATGGAGCTTCCATGGATGTATACAGGGTGTACTGTAACAGACTCATCACTAAGAATGTTTTTCAGTCTCTCTGATAGGAATTTCCGGGTATCTCGACTCATGAACTCTGGGGAATCAAGCTCTCTCTCTCTACCCACTCTATCTCTAACTTGGTTTGCTATCCGCCTTGCTATCTCTTTTGGGTCTCTTAATGTATTTTCAAACTCAATCCCATTGTTTGAAAAGCTTGGGTCTTTTCTGATATTCTCCTGAAGCCCAAGTCTGAGTCTTTCTCTGACTTCCTCAAGGAAATCTTGGATGCTCCCGTCTTCTTCAAGTCTCTCCGTTGAGCTCGATTGGGTTTGTTCTCTTTCATCTGACTTCTCAGGTCCTGGCTTTAGAATCACTATCCTTGTTGGTAACCTTTGCTGCTCAATTTCACCATGATGATTACTGTGATCAATTGGCTTGTTTCCCACAGAGAGAAATGCTGTTTCAGTTGGTTTCACATGGAGTGGTCTTCTGTGCTTCCCTTGATGAACGCCCTCTGAGGATAGAATTGTAATGGTTTCTCTCTCTTTCTCTATGCTCTTTCTAGTAGGATTTAAATAGAGAGCCATCTTTTCTTTATTGAGGATTTCTTGAGCAATGGTCTGATTATCTTTCCATTGCCTGAAATTCTTGCTCAAATCTACGCTTTTTGAGCTCTCCAAAACCTTTGAAGCCTGCCATGCTTCAAATTCTTTCTTAAACTTTTGCAACTGCTTCTCTTGGGGATGTTCTCGAGGTCGAGGCTTCGAAGGTTTCAGGGAATTGATGAACTCATCTTGTTCCTTTTTTTGAGATATAAGAGGAGGGGAATTTTTCCTTGAAAATTTTGAAGAAATTGAGGATAGTGAGGTTAATCCATTTCGGTTCTGTTCTTTGATAGGCATACTCTTCCTAAGATTTTCTCTCTCCTTTGCTGGTTCTTCTGCTTTTTTACTGACTGGTAATGAATCAACCCCCATTAGACGAGCAACAACACTTGGTACATTGCGTTTGGCCTCCGTTTCTTTGGACATCTCCTGGTCTATGAGAAGCTTCATCGGGGTTCCGTTGTGATAAAAATCTTTTGTTGTATAGCTCTGCTTCACTTGACATGAGAACTGAGAAAACAAAGATAACAGTCAATCGATTCACTGATATTCATCTTACATCTGTCTCACTTGTAATTTATGGGACTCAATTGCAGTTCCACATGTGAAATTTGTTTGGATTGTTTTGAATGAAAACTATAGGCTAGCAACTTATTATGGAGAATAATACACGAAAAATCCAGACATTGGAATGATGGGATGGTTTTACCGGTGTGTTATCTTGCTTGATCCAGGAGCTCTGCATCGAATCAACAGGCAAGTCCAGGCTATTTCTTGGAGCTTCCAACCCTATAGAGTTCACATGACAGAGAAAATTCTCAGGTTAAAATTGTGCATAATTTAGTTGCAGTATCCCTTCAAATCACGGTGGATGCATTATACCAGTTTCAACCTTAAAACATGAACAGGGGATTCTCTTCTCTCTCTCTCATAAAAATGATTCCTGTTCCTTACCATCTGCATGTCTTTTATGCGTCAACAATTTCCTTGACATTCCGGCCTGATTAAAATCAAAAAGGTGTAATATGCCTCCCATATAGCCCTCTGGTTCTTATAGTGTTTCCTTCTTTAATCCAGAATTTTTAGAGCACCTGATTAGAATCAGCATACCAAACAGACATCAATAAACGTGTTAAATCTAAATATGAATCACAGTAAGAGACAAGGAATATTCATTTCTCTCTACGTTACTGTTTAATGCTTTTGTGTAAGAAGAAATAAATATGGATTTAATTGCCTTCAAGTTTCATTTAGATGCATGGATTAATTGCTTCATAATATCTCACAACAAACTAACTGCACGTGAGTTTAAAAATGTGAATGAATACTTGTCCGAACATAGTGTTTCAAGCCAAAAGAACAGAGATTAGGCAGAAGTTATAATTCCTCTTTAAGTCGTGTTTGTATAATCCATATCGTACTGCTGAAGTCATTAAAGTGTAATAACAGATTTCTATCAAAGATTGTTGGGGTTTTTGAGGTCTTGATATTCAAAAAATCTCACACAACAAGGATCAAAAAGTAAACAATAGCGAATTTTGGCACTGGTGAGAATCAATCCATTGAATTAATTATAGTACTATACCTTTGATATTAAAATGATTAAAGGAAAAATTGGTTAGATCAATCCAATTCACAAAAATGATTAAAATTATATTTAGTTCAATCAAGTCTTTCCGAATTGAATCCCCAATCTCAAGGAGTATTACTTATGAGATGGAAACAGGACAATTCTATATTAAAGTTTATTATCTTACACACAAGTCCAGAACTTTTCAGCTTGCAATTCTCCAGGAAAATCTCTCGATTACAGAAGAAATATCCAAAAATTGAAGATAAAATTAGGGAAAATTTGACTCTATTAATACCGAACTACGTGATAGCATCAAAATAATCCCAATTTCAAGGCAGGAAACCAAAAGCCTACTTCATTATCAGTTTATCATTAATCTTCCCTGAACCAAGGTTGAAACAAAAAAACAACAAGAAAGTCACAAACACTTACCTTGGCAATGGTTCTGGTATTTGAACAAAAAGTTATCCAAATTTGGTGAAGAAAACCACCATTTTCGCCTGAATCAGACTGAATTCTCAAATTAAGGGCAAACAAGCAAACCCATTTTCAACCCTTTCATGATCCATGTTTCTAAACATGTCTCCATGAAATTCACTAATCTCGTCCAATTCCATCTCTCTCTCTCACTCAGCTATCTTGTACCCATGAGTTTAAACTGGTGACGTTGACTCTTGCATCATCCTCATCTTTGCTCTGCAATTCATCCTCTCTCTCTCTTCCAAAGCCAAAATCATGTAATTATACGAAGTTCTCAGACTGGTTTAGTCTGAAGAGATGGTCAATTCTCACTCTAATTCTTCAGTTGAATTGTACTTTTTTGGCATTTCGGAAAACGCGGAGAATAAGAAGCCTCCATGACAGGGTGTGTCCAAGAGGCGAGAATCAGAGAGAAGCATTTTCCTTATTAATATATTTTTAGAGAGAGAGAGAGAGGAGCTTTTCACTTTTGTGAATGGTGAGTTTCAGTTCGGCCTCAATCTCGTATTATTATGCAGGCAAAGCTGTCACCTTTACACTTGAAAGTCGAGAGCAATTATAAAACCACAAAAGCTCCAATGAGCATCTCTCTCTCTCTCTCTCTCTCCTTTCCTGCTTCTCACTTGTTTCCTTTCCGTAAATGGATTTTCACTTCTCTCTCTAGCCCCTATTTTTAAATAGATAAAACAAAAACGCCCCCAATCTTTCTTCAAATGTCATGGATGTTCACGGTTGGACAAAGAGGCCATGAAAGTTCTCTCTACTGCTGCCATTTCTTCCGTTAGAACCACTGTTTTAAAACTTGGATCGGTGGTGTGAATAATTCACCTTTACATTCGTGCATGATTGTTGAAATGATGATCAAGATCGATTCTTGATCACTCTGAATTAATCATCCAAAAAATAACAAATTATCAATCAAAATACACATAATTTTGAGCTGAAATAATAAAAGCAGGGTGGTGTTTATGCTTTTTTATTAGTTTCCCCTTCATCAATAAATGTTTCTTAAATCTCAATGCCCTGGCCGTTTTTTTAAGTCCAAGGATTATGTAGTGATATTAAAACTGGGTATGGTTTGTACATGATGTAACTTTACTTGTAGAAGTAAAGTTGTGGTATTCTACATCATATATTTTAACGAGACAGTGTAAATCCAACATATTTTTTGAAACAATGTAAAAAAGTTATACGCTTTTTGAGATAGTATCAATTTTACACCATTCAAATAAAATAGATTGTGTAGATTAATGCAACTTTACTTCTACTAGTAAAGATGTATCCTTTCAACGAACAATAGAATTGACTACCTTATCCCATTTCGGGGCCTTTGACGGCATTTCGGATAAAAAAAACCTTTAGAATAGTTCTTTTGGGCACGATAATTGTAAGGCATCTATTTTATGAAATGGCTTGATCTAGTCGGACTCAAAAATTTATTTTCTTTGAAAAAATCTTTCAATAGTATGATGAGGCAATTTACAAAAAGATTTAGGTCAAACAAACACTGTTTGGGTCTCCATCTAACACCATTTTGACTTGTGTTGAATGCATCTTCTCTCCCCCTCAACAAATATTTTCTGGTTTTTTTAGAAATTTATTTCAATGATATTTTTCACTTTTGACCAAGAGGATGTACATACCATAATTAGAGCAAACCAGGTACCGTATGTACTACCGTTATCAAAACTCTAAAAATCAATCGAGAAGGCAAACTTAAATCATCCGTCGAATAAATTTGATCAATATGCTTTGCTAGATCAACAAAAAATTGATTTTTTATTTATAATAAAAATCAAATTCAAAAGGCCATATCGTGATAACCACCAAAACTGCACTATACTTTCTTCCTCGATCTCAAAATTTCAGGGCCTATTTGAAAATAAGATATTACAGCTTTTGATAAAAGAATGAGGATATATTGGTCAATTTTTAAATTTAAAAATGGTGGGAACAGCTGGGCATTGCCTTCCTCGGCCCTCCCGCGCATATAGCGTGAGTAGCATATAAAATTGCCAAATGTCATTTCCCTTTTGGGGCTAGAATATTATAAAGGTAAAAACATTTTTTATTTTATTAGATGATGAAACAGTAAAAGCTATATATCTTTTCTATCCAAAAATCAAATTTGTGAAAATCTTTGAAAATTCCTCTTGATTTCCCACCTTCATTTTCCATCTTCTCGTTTGATGAAAGAAAAGGTTAAAATGAGGCTCAGGCTTTATGGAAAATTGGTAATCTTTCTACAAATTTGCAGTCTCGATGTTGAAAAACTATCAAATCGATCATCTTAACTTTGATTATTATGGATATGAGAAAAAAAAAAAAATTTAAGTATTAAAAATTATGTATATTATAAATACTATCCGGACCTTCAATTTCAAGTATTAATGGATCAATGAGATATGAACCATTTTTTAAGCTAAAATTTAATAATGGATGATGGAAATAGAATAAGGGACTTTGTGCCCGAGGTGACGCTTTACTTTTTTCTATAAGGAACCACATACTTGAGAGAAAAATGTTTCCCAATTTACTTATGGGTGTGACAAGGCATGTGAGAAAAATGTTTCCCAACTTACTTAAGGGTGTGACAAGGCCTCAGCTTCATCACTTTAAAAAAAAGAAAATTATCAAAATCCCACTGTGGAGTAAAACTTGATACTTTGATGACCTGAAATCTATTTTTATCTTTGTTATGAAATTTGAAGCTCCAATAATATGTTGATCTAGTGGACAATTGAAAATGAGCCGTCTAAATAATGCACTTCAAGATACACTATTCTTAATATTTGAATTTTTTTTTTTATATTCATACATATCAAGGTAGAGATAATCAATTTGAGATTTCCACCACCAAAATTGTACTTTCTAGTAAGGTTCTAAGGTGTGGCTTAAAGTCTCATAAATGTTTTTTTACTAATTTGGACTAAAATTTAATATTTCCAAACTTTCGCCCGATGACAGAAACACATTGAAGATTTGTTAGGCCAGGATTCGGTCTATCTGAATCTTCACATCTTCAGGCAATTGTTCATCCAATTTCTTAACATCATTATCATCGTCGAAGCTTTTTCCCAACTAATTGGGATCAGCCAATTTCTTAACATAATTTTACCTAATGTTTCTCTTTAAAATTAGATATATCATAAAGAGGAAAAATGAAATGAAATTCAAAACATTGAAAAGAGAAGGAAAAAGACCTACATGGATGGGCTCTACTATGAATAAAAGAAAAAAGAAAAAAGAAAGGGATTATGATTGTTAAAAGTTCTACAACTCATCTGGTAGGGCTTGGAGTCACCCTCTCTCATCATTCCTAACATGTGTAATCTTATTTTTTAAATTGGGGGGACCCAATATCGGCATAAATACTCTAGTTTCATTTTGAAACACACTAATAACCCACATGAAAAAAATCTTTTGTATAAAGGAAAGAGAATGAGAAGGAACATGTACTAATAACCTATACAACTTCTTTTTACTTCAATATTCGCCTATGCTTATTAAACTCAGAACATGTGAGGGAGACAATATCCAGTAGTAGGATATCTCATGCTCTTCTCAAAGAGTTAAGCACGCAAGTACAGACACGGATCCTTTTATCTGTTAATTTTTTATATGTAGTGTTCAAAAACTCAGCGATCTGGATTGGGAACCTTTTATATGTTAAGTTTTTATATGTAGTGTTAAAAAACTCAACGATCTGGATTGGGAATCGCTGATTTGAACCCCCCTCCCCGGCAGAAACTACCTCTTCCATTTGTATTTTTATTTTAGTTTGTCAATCTTTTTTTTAGATCCCTCTAAAATCCCATCTCAAACCCCAATTTTAATTTTATTTTTATTTTTAATATTTTCTAGATTATTGATTTGGACCGATTTTGAATAGGCGATATGGGGGTGGACAATCTCTCCACCACTTTGGTTTTGAAACACTGCTTATATGGATTGGCCAGATTAGTTATCCAAATGAGAGAAATCAGCTCCACGGCAAAATAAATAAAAAAAATATAAAAAATGAAGGAAGAACTTTTTATTATTTAATATAGTTCAAATAAAAAAAATATTTAAGTCATTCCATATTAAGCTACATGTATAGGTTAATTAACCAATTACGTCCAAAAATTGGATCAGTGACCGACAATTCTCAATCCAAATTAGCAACTCTTGATCTGGATTGAAGATTTTTCTTACCGTCTATTATTCTCTAGGTGTCCGTCCTCATGGACAATTAGGTCCTTGATTTTATCCATTAATTTTCCATACTTTACAAAAAAAAAAAACAAAATCCGCGGAGACAAGTCGCTTGTGTGCATGACGTTTGTATAAGGTGCCCACCTTATAATATTAAAGTAAGGTGCACCTCTAAATTTTGCTTGAAGACGTAGTTTCGATGTCACACAGCTTACATGTTCAACTCTAATTATGAAATTTAAAAGTTTAAAAATACAGTAGATTGAGCAGATATATAAGTACTTTAAAATATTGAAAATAGACAGTCTAGATAATTTGTTATAAGATGCACTATTTTTATGACTTGAATTTTTATTTTTCTTTATATCTATACATCTCAAGCTCGAGATGATTAATAAGAAGGTTTTCCAACTTTAAAACACTCTTTTCTACTAGCCTTTTGAGGTGCATCTTACTTCTGTAGTACAAGGTTACAACTTTATATGAATTTTTTCCGTTCTTAGTGTAAATCTAATCTATACTCTCAGTCTCATCAGTTCAATAAGGGTCTAAAATGTAAATTACACGACTATCCTCATCTCACAAAATTAGGCCCAATGTTAGTGGAAAGAGGCCACTAAATTACGATGGATCTCATTCAATCAAAGCCGTTCCTATTTTGAACTTGTGGGGCAACATTTTAAAAAGTAAAAGTAAACTAGAATAGTTTAAGAATATTTGAACAAAAAATCCAAAACTTGTTTAACAAGTTGAAGCTATCAAGGCAACTGGTTTGAACAAAACTGGTCAAATATTAATTGTCGCCCTTTTCTATTTTTATCAAACCCGGCTTTTCTTTTACCAAACGAACCAAGAAATTAGTCGATGGTGACATCCGGTCTTTATTTACAGTGATCAAGATTTGATACACAAGGATGCTTGTTTGAGGTCACGTACATTAAATTTCTCTACAATGCAAGCGTCATACGAATTCCAAAAATAACACCAATGTTTGTGGGGATCTCGTGAAGGCGATTTAAAAGAGAAAAAAGTTTATACAAGGCATTAATCTTGTACTATAGAAGTAGGACGCATCTTAAAAACCCACCGAAGAAGGTTATTTTGATGTAGAAAATGCTTCTAATTGATTGATCTACAGATATGAGAGGAAAAATAAAAAATTCAAATTGCAAACTAGTGCATCTTGTAATACTTTATTTTAAGTGTTTATAAATCTAATTGATGTGCTATTTTTTAAAAAACTTTAGATGTTTTGAAAAGGTTCGGAAATAAATTTTAAAGACCTCACATGGGTTTGCAGCA